TTAAGAAAAGATTTTTCGCCTTATTTAAAAATTCAAGTAAAAAATGACAGAAATTTTTAGAAAAAAAAAAGCGAAGTGCCAAATAAAAAACCATATCATCTATAAAATATTAGACATGCATTGAATTCAATTTTTTTTTTTATTTTTGAACGAAAATTGACTTTTTCTAAAGAGGGCTTAAATGGTATTATATTTATTTATCATAACAAGAATTCTATTGGACTCAATATAGAAAATGTTTCATTGTCCATGTTTGTTTGTCTCTATCGACTATTTTTCTTGATTATGATTTGTTATTTAAAAGCGAATAGATATGAAGAGAAAGAAAAGAAAGGGTCACAGGTGACGTATTACTAAGATAAATCGAGCATATGTTCGATTGATTGATTTGGAGACAAACAACCAAAAAAAAAAGAATTTTGTATATGTTTTAGATGTTGTTGTCTTGCCAATTATTATCATGCAACGTTTAGCTGATTATTTTCTTGTGGTCGGTTATGATCATGATGAAGAACGAGGTGGTCGTTCATGTGGTAAAATAATTCAACGTTTTCCCGATAAAGATTGGTCTGATTGTTCATTTAATCCACGTGTTATACATTTTTGTCAACCACAAGGATGGATATTAACAGCAAAACGTGAATTACCAACATTTTTTATATCAATTTTAACTGATTTAGATGGTTTAAGACATTATTGTGCTTGTTTAACATTTCATCAAACACTTTTACCAGCAACAACAAATATTTTATTAAATAAAACAAATGATTATAGTGATGAAGCTGATGATACAGCTTTTTTATTACCTCGTACACAAATGTATGCACCAAAATGTTTAGTACTTACATCAAAATTAGATTGTTTCGAAGCATTTAGAGTAAGTATGAAGACATACAAATGATTTTATTTGAAGCAAAAAAATATATACATCAATTTTTTTTTGTTTTTGATACACTTATCGAGAAGATTTTCATTTTTACTGAACAATTATGACAAGTTTTAAATTTTATTAATTTTATATTGAGTATTTATCAAGAAACCTCTAATGTTCTATTTATTTTTTCTTACATAATATATCAAAAAAGAAAAAAACTAAGTACCATTGTGTTTATTGAATGAGAGAACTTTGAACTAGTTTTTTTTTTTAATAGCAAAAAGAAATAGATTCTTGAATTTGTTATGAAGGAAAACAAAATTCTTTTTATAAATAAGAATTATAGTTACGGAAAACAGATAATGAAATATCTTTACTGTTGACAGATAGGAAATGTGCTTCTTCTTTTTTTTTTTTTGTCTTTATTATTATGACAGAAGACAATCATAAATTGTAGTTTCATTGTTAATTAATCATTTTGTTTATCTGTTTGGATATATTTCTGATTGCATATTCTTATCAGTTTTCGTTTATAATTATTATTATTATTAACATACCAGGTGGTGGTACATTGACATTTGCAAGAATATTACCAACAAGTGTTTCAATTCGTATATCTGACGAAGGTTCGACATACATTGTGTAAACAATACCAAGACAATTCTAAAGAAAATTTATATATGTACATGACAATACAAAGTACACATGCTTTTCATAGGCATGACTAGTCATGGCTATGTTGTTCGACACATATTCAAAATGTATTGTATGGCAAACGTCAGTATCATCACCTATGGAATGATCCTGGACATGTCTTGAGTCATTCTAACCACATATAACTATTCTTGTGAATAGTTAATGTTTATGAGTAGCACAAGAACTCTGCATCAGGTCAGTTTCTTCTGTCCAGAGATATAGCTAATCATAGTTGTAGAAAAGATATTAATTTAAACTCTTCCATCGCCTTTCGTCTTTGCCGGATTTTTCTGAAACGGCTCGATAACTAGAGAAAAATTTGTCCTAGATTCAAATGTTTCCTTAGAAAAAATACAAAACAAAATAAACTTTTGTTTCTTTTTCGCTCATTTCCAATTATTTATTTCGCATCAAATATGAATATCAACAGTTGTTTCTAAGAAATATTTGCCATTGAGTCAATCATAAGTTTTCTTTTTCCTTCAAAATAGGGATTCTCAAAACAAAGCTTTTTTTGCGAGCTTATATGGCTTGGTACAATTACTTTCAATATATCTTTACAAATGAAAACCTTGAAAAAAAAAAAATTCGGTCCGAAAAGCGGGCGGAATTTACCCTTTAACGTCCATAGAAAATTATCCTTATAAAAATACAACAAAAGTCATGTATATCAAAATGACATAAATGTATATGAAAGATTTATTACATTTTAATATGATATCTATCTGTTGAAAATAAATAGTAAACTATTTTTTAGTAAGA